CGCGGGGGGGGGGGGATGAATGGGGAGCAGAGCACCTGCTCCTGCTCAGAGCTGCCCTGTTCTTGCAGGTCACGTGACTTCTACCACACCTGCTACTGCTTGAGTGGTCTGTCCATAGCCCAGCACTTCGGCAGCGGAGCCATGCTGCATGACGTGATCCTGGGTGTGCCCGAAAACGCTCTGGTAAGAGGTGCTGGGGGCCTTCTTCAAGGGTCTCCAGGACAGGGGGCGTCAGTCAGTGGAGCAGCCACTGACATTTGGCCCAACTCGCTCTGTGTACTTCCTATAGGGACAGGCTGGGAAGCTCGCAGTCCCCACCTTTCTTGAAAATAGGGCTGTCAGTGAGGAGGTGACTGTGGAGGAAATGCACCCCCAGGCAAACTCAGGGGTCTGGGTGGTCTGATCCAAGACCGAAGTTTTGTGCCTTTACCCACAACGGAGATCGAGGATCCAGACCAGCACTCACATCTTCCCTCTCCAGGAAGCAGTGTGTTACTTCTGGGCCGTGAGTGCCCAGTGGGCCAGCAAGGGCACCTGTAGCTGCTCAGCATGCACCGTCTCCTGCAGGCCCCTGCTTAGGTGCTGTCCCTTAAGAGAATGACAGCCCAAATGCTCTGTCCCAGGGCACCCATCACAATTTATGATGTGTTTGTTTAACATGTGTCTGCTTTCCTCTAAAAACATGAGCCAGTGAGAGTGGAATGCTCCACAGAGCACGCATGCACGCACATGCGCCCGGTGTGAGTTTAAGCCACCAGGTCTGGGACTCAAACCGTGTTCAAGTACATGGGAGTCCAGTGACATAGCCATTACGCCGACTGCTGGTTCCATTTAGTGTATTATTTTATTACCAGAGGGTGCATTTGCCCTCCAGAGAGAAAATATCCTCCAGTGGTTTATGGTTATACCACAATACTTTTTCCTCTATTTCTCCATTCTTTTGGAATCTGGGGCACAGATGCACACAAGCCTGGCATATTTTTCAAGCTGTCGGGGCTGGGATTTAAACTGTGATTGGCCATGTGAGATCTGACTTCCAGTGTTTAGCCACTGCACTGCGAGGCTGGCCCCAAACACACTTCAAAAAGTTTGGGGACCAGCGGTTAGCGTAGTGGCTGAACTTCCATGTAGTTGACTGAGTTTCAAGTCCCGGACCTGGTGGCTTAAACTCACACCGGGAGCATGTGCATGTGTGCCCAAGATCCCGAGAGGAGAATGGAGGAGAAAGGATTGCGGCGTGGCCATCCCCCCTGGGGGGTGATTTCTCACTTTCTGTCTCCCTGTCTGTCTTTCTAGTGAGCGCAGGTGCCCTATAGCAAAAACCTCTTCAAAAAAAGTAAGTTAGAAGGCTGGCCCCATGGCATAGCAATTAAGCATTATTTCTAGGGAGCTGAATTCCACATGTAAGGTTCGAATCCAGGCCCAGTGGCTTTCTAAAAATTTGGGTGCTTGTGTGTGTGTGCCCCAAATCCTGTGGCAGAGAGAAGAAAGGACGGCCCTGGAACCAGGGTGTGCTCTCATGCACACACACACCCTCTGGCAATAAAAAGTAAGCTGGAGATGTTGGTTCTCCTCACTCATTATAAGCATTTGCTCATATTATTAAATATTTAAAAGCATATGTTTAGTGGCTCTATACTATTCCCTTGCGTCCCATGTACAATAACATGCTCTAAGCAAATACTCTGATTTTGACCATTTGGACCATGACATCTGTACCTCTGGTGATGCTTTATACTAAATCCTTACGAGTGCATTTCAGGGGGCAAAGGACGTGCATGTACCCAAGGACCACCAGGGTGATTAACTGGCATCTGTCCTTCTCGTTGCAGCAGCCCACCCACCCCGTGTACAACATTGGGCCAGACAAGGTGATCCAGGCCACCACGCACTTTCTGCAGAAGCAGCCGAGGGGGGGGGGGGGGATGAATGGGGAGCAGAGCACCTGCTCCTGCTCAGAGCTGCCCTGTTCTTGCAGGTCACGTGACTTCTACCACACCTGCTACTGCTTGAGTGGTCTGTCCATAGCCCAGCACTTCGGCAGCGGAGCCATGCTGCATGACGTGATCCTGGGTGTGCCCGAAAACGCTCTGGTAAGAGGTGCTGGGGGCCTTCTTCAAGGGTCTCCAGGACAGGGGGCGTCAGTCAGTGGAGCAGCCACTGACATTTGGCCCAACTCGCTCTGTGTACTTCCTATAGGGACAGGCTGGGAAGCTCGCAGTCCCCACCTTTCTTGAAAATAGGGCTGTCAGTGAGGAGGTGACTGTGGAGGAAATGCACCCCCAGGCAAACTCAGGGGTCTGGGTGGTCTGATCCAAGACCGAAGTTTTGTGCCTTTACCCACAACGGAGATCGAGGATCCAGACCAGCACTCACATCTTCCCTCTCCAGGAAGCAGTGTGTTACTTCTGGGCCGTGAGTGCCCAGTGGGCCAGCAAGGGCACCTGTAGCTGCTCAGCATGCACCGTCTCCTGCAGGCCCCTGCTTAGGGGCTGTCCCTTAAGAGAATGACAGCCCAAATGCTCTGTCCCAGGGCACCCATCACAATTTATGATGTGTTTGTTTAACATGTGTCTGCTTTCCTCTAAAAACATGAGCCAGTGAGAGTGGAATGCTCCACAGAGCACGCATGCATGCACATGCGCCCGGTGTGAGTTTAAGCCACCAGGTCTGGGACTCAAACCGTGGTCAAGTACATGGGAGTCCAGTGACATAGCCATTACGCCGACTGCTGGTTCCATTTAGTGTATTATTTTATTACCAGAGGGTGCATTTGCCCTCCAGAGAGAAAATATCCTCCAGTGGTTTATGGTTATACCACAATACTTTTTCCTCTATTTCTCCATTCTTTTGGAATCTGGGGCACAGATGCACACAAGCCTGGCATATTTTTCAAGCTGTCGGGGCTGGGATTTAAACTGTGATTGGCCATGTGAGATCTGACTTCCAGTGTTTAGCCACTGCACTGCGAGGCTGGCCCCAAACACACTTCAAAAAGTTTGGGGACCAGCGGTTAGCGTAGTGGCTGAACTTCCATGTAGTTGACTGAGTTTCAAGTCCCGGACCTGGTGGCTTAAACTCACACCGGGAGCATGTGCATGTGTGCCCAAGATCCCGAGAGGAGAATGGAGGAGAAAGGATTGCGGCGTGGCCATCCCCCCTGGGGGGTGATTTCTCACTTTCTGTCTCCCTGTCTGTCTTTCTAGTGAGCGCAGGTGCCCTATAGCAAAAACCTCTTCAAAAAAAGTAAGTTAGAAGGCTGGCCCCATGGCATAGCAATTAAGCATTATTTCTAGGGAGCTGAATTCCACATGTAAGGTTCGAATCCAGGCCCAGTGGCTTTCTAAAAATTTGGGTGCTTGTGTGTGTGTGCCCCAAATCCTGTGGCAGAGAGAAGAAAGGACGGCCCTGGAACCAGGGTGTGCTCTCATGCACACACACACCCTCTGGCAATAAAAAGTAAGCTGGAGATGTTGGTTCTCCTCACTCATTATAAGCATTTGCTCATATTATTAAATATTTAAAAGCATATGTTTAGTGGCTCTATACTATTCCCTTGCGTCCCATGTACAATAACATGCTCTAAGCAAATACTCTGATTTTGACCATTTGGACCATGACATCTGTACCTCTGGTGATGCTTTATACTAAATCCTTACGAGTGCATTTCAGGGGGCAAAGGACGTGCATGTACCCAAGGACCACCAGGGTGATTAACTGGCATCTGTCCTTCTCGTTGCAGCAGCCCACCCACCCCGTGTACAACATTGGGCCAGACAAGGTGATCCAGGCCACCACGCACTTTCTGCAGAAGCCAGTCCCAGGCTTCAAGGAACACGACGATGAGGCAACGGCAGAGCCTGCAACTGACTAGAGGACCAGGTCCCCTTGGCTCTGTGCTCACCACTCCCCAGTCAGACAAGGTTTCGACGTTTCGGTACATAGAACATCCGCGTACACACGCCTTAGCCACTAGGGAGCTGTGGTTCTCTTTTTCCTTTTCGTCAAACAAAACAAAACCGATGGCTCTGGGTTTGGAGAACACAGTGGCATGGTTTTAAAAATTCTTTCCACACCTGTCAGACCAAAAATCGATCAGCCTGTATGGCATGGTTGGGGAACAGTGCATGTTGGGAGGAACAGCCCCTCCCACCAGCTCTCCAGCTTGGACAGCTGTGTTGAGATGAATGGCGTCTGTGCATATTTCAGTCTCCGGAGCCACAGAGACTCCCACTTGCCCGCCACCCAACGTGCCCTCCACACAAACCGTCCTCCCTCCCTTGGGTAAGGAAGTAAGTCTGCTTTACGCTGGGATGGGGGTTGGGTCCCACCCAGAGGAATTCTCTGGAAAGGACCAAGGTGGGACTGCTCTAGGAGGTGCCTCTGCCTCTGGCCTCCCGCCCTGGTCATTTGCAGGGGGAAGGAGCTGGAGGATGGGGAGAGAGGTCTCCTTGAACTGAGAGTCCCCTACCTCTCAACGCCGGAGAACAAGCCACGCAGCTCCCCCAGGTCACACTTGGTGCACAGGCAGGACTTGCTTCGACCCCGGGTGTGGTGACTTAGACTTGGGAAACCAATTATGAATGGAAAATGAACCTCCTGCTCAACTCGGCAGAGGAAGCAGCCCCAGGGCCCACCCCTGAGCCTTCGTATCATGTACCGTGAAAGCCCCGACCCCCATGTCCTCAAGGCAACACCTGCAGCCTGTGGCCATTCCACGTGTTTCATCTTTCTCTGACAGTGTTGTCTTCTCTCACCCAGAGTATTAACACTACTAAGTCTTTCACCTTAATTTATGGCTCAGGATTATTCTTGTCCTGCCCACTCGAGGCTCACAGAAATAAAATCAAGTGCTAGACGAGCTGGCTGCTGCTCAGGCAGGGGCCTTGTGAACTGGTGGTGGTGGGGCGAGTGCTGCCCGGGGTGCTGGGCCCTGTGGTGTGCCACTGCTCCCATGCCGAGCCTGCTCTCAGCAGTGGGGTGTCGAGTTGGGTCATTTGTCCACTGCTATGGCCACAGCAAGCGCCATGTCGCTGACCTGGCCTCCATGTCAGCCATGGGCTGTGGCAGACAGGAGCTTGGAGATGCGGCAGCAGGCTCTTCTCCAAAATGCTGGCCACGTGCTGCCTCTCTAATTCCCCGTTGCTTTGGCGTATTGGGCTATGTATTACCTCCTTGAAATAATAAAAGAATAACATTTTCTATGATGTCTCTTGTGTGTGATCCGTACCGAGAAAATGCCTTCAGAACGCCCAAGGCTGGGAGTTACTGAAGGCCGCTCATGAGATTTCAGTGCCCTGCCCTGCATGTGACTGTGGGAGTATGACTGCAGTCCCACCTCACATGCCCTCTCTTCCTATCCAGGAGCAGTGGGCAGAGCTGCTTCCAGGCTCCCTGAGTTCTGTTCACACCACACACAGCCTTTCCTGGTCTGTCCCGGCCTGTCTCCGACCCGACTGTGAGCAGAGACCATGCTCTGCAGCCCAGAACAGGTGCTCAGCAACAGTGGGCAGATGTCCTGGCCAGAGGTGGGGCAGAAGGGCTGTCACGGTGCAGGCTGGAACCCTGTGGGCACCTGGCTTCCCCTCATCTGGCGAGAGAGCCTCTCCAAGGAGGCCAAAAAAGTAAGAGCTCTTGGCCAGACTGGTTGAAGGGAGAGAAGAAGGTATCCTCTGAGGACACCCAGATCCACATAAATAGACCAAGTCTACATTCTGGAATGCTATTTTCGCCCTAACAAAGGTTCAGACTGCAGAGTTACACACTGGCATGCATCCTCCCCCCCATCCATATAATAAGGGGGCAAACCCTCACAGCACCAGAAGCCTCCGGGGGTTGCGAGATTAATTGCAGTAATTGTGTGGTTAAGAGATGGGACTGCTGTGGTCTGAGTGGCTTTATACCAAGCAGAGGGGATTCGAGCTGGGCCCTGAGGGGAGATAAAGTCTGGCTTGGTAGAAGCGAGAGGGTCTTGTACTGGCATTATTATCTCGGGGTAGTTGGCACTGACTATGGATGAGACTGTTTTCTGGAGGGTTACCTGATTTAGCCTTCAAGATGGGCCCTGGAGGTGAATTCTTTTTTTTTTTTTTTTGGAGAGGTTTTTTGGCTATAGGGCGTGCGCTCGCCAGACAGAGACAGACAGACAGAAAGCGAGAAATCACCCCCAGGGGGGATGGTCACGCCGCAATCCCTTCTCCTCCATTCTCCTCTCGGGATCTTGGGCACGCACGCACGCACGCACATGCGCCCGGCGTGAGTTCTAAGCTATTGGGTCCCGGACGTGAACCGTGGTCGACTACGTGGGAGTCCAGTGACATAGCCATTACGCTAACCGCTGTTTCCCCTGGAGGTGAATTCTGATTTATCATGTAGATCCTTAAGTAGAAGACATTAAGTAGCATTCATTCTGTATGATGCTCCAAATTATTTACCCCCATCAATAAATATAAAATTGCTGCAGGTCTTTCTTTCCAGATGGGCCCCATTTACCCCTTCAAGCCCATCTCAGACCCACCTAAGTGCCATGTAAGTGGGGAAGCTGCCAGACCTCACTAGGAGCAGAGGGGAGCCTTATGGAGAAGCCGGCGTAAGCTACCCCGAGATGGCAACATCACAGAGTATTCCTGAACTGCCTTCTCTTCACGGTATTTCTGAGTGAGAAGCCACAGGCTCGTTTCTGGCCAATTGCTCCGTGAGAGGACACGCCACAGACTGAAGGATGGATGCCCTTCTCCCTTGCTGTGCAGCCCGTCACCTGCTGTTTCTGCACTTGAGGACACTGGCCTGACCTGCCTTCACATGTGGGGACTTGGGGCTCAGCCAGGGCCCTCATCCACTCCCCACTCACCCAGGGAGTCTCCTCCACTGAGAGATGTTTACCCTGATTGCTCCAGTTCATCCCCGATCCCAAATCCCAGGAAGACTGGACAGGCTTTCAGCCTAGTTCCCACTGGTCACTGGTCAGGGCTGGGCCTCCATCTGTTAATTCGGTTTGGCATCTCCAGGGCGAACTCCAAGCCCCATCATGCCTATGCTGGGTCCCAGCACGTCCAAGCAATGCTCCCAAAGCTGCTTCTCAGAAAGAGAAGGTAGTGCAGATGCCCCGTGCCAGATGGCGGCCAACCCAGCCAAGGAATTGAAGCAGAAGCAGAGTTCCTCAGGGTGGCCTCCACTTTGAAATTACCCCTGGTGCCCAGCTCTCCTAGTCAGCTCCCCTTGAAGTCTCCCTGGGCCTGTGTATGGTCTAGCCCGTTCTAGACTCGTGTTCCTTCGGAGCACAGAGCTGCACCGTTTTCTCCCTGCCACCCTATTCCATGCGCCAACCAAGGCTCCATAGAGGCAGCTTTACTGAATGACTGAAACAATCGGAGAAGGACCATGGTGGTCTGGGAACTGGAGGAAGGAGGAGTATACGATGACTCTTGGAACTGAGCTTTATTTAACCAGCAGCTTCGTGGGGCCAAGGCAAAGTGAGGACAATAGGTCACTGCAGAGTTCTCGACAGCAGGAGATATGCCGACTCTGGAGGGAGCCCATTTTCTCCTGGTGATAAAGTCTATGATGGATTTATCATGTAGACTCTTACTTAGGAGACTCCGAGAACCCAAAGATGGTCCCTTTGGAAGCAGTTTTGTGGATATTGCAGTAGCATCCTTTATGAAGCTACTTCTCATGAAGACCTTACATAAAAGCAGAGGCCATAATAGCAGTTAAATGACACTTCCCGCCTAGTAGGTAGTGCTACTGCTTGGAAGGCTGGACTTTGCATGGGAGGCCCGAGTTCAGGTTTCAGGGCAACCTGAACACACTAGGCGTGGTCACTTGTGTCTGAAATCCTAGCTAACTGGACGGTTGGGGCAGGAGGAATAGGAGGCACAGGAAGACCTTATTAAAAAAGCCAAATATCTCTCTGTTCTCTCCTGCCGCCCCATCTCTGGCAGCTTCCTAACTTACACAGCACTTAGGGAGGGTGTCTGAGATGGGCTCAAAGACCAAGCTGGGGCCTATTTGGAAGCAGAGAACTGTAGTATTATATTTACTGATGGAGGAGTATATGTATTAAATGCTGTGTAATGAGACCAAATGTTCCAGTCATCCACACGCTCTGCTCAGAGGCATTCATGGCTCTTGAATAGGAAGAAGAATACAATGATTTTCAGGCACTGCTGGAGCCGACAGGTTACCTGACTCAAACTGGATTACAACAACGGGGAAATGTGTTCACTCCGAAACCAAAAAGTCCAGGGGTTAGGTTGGCTTATGAGGGGCTTCGATAGGCTTCTCCCCCTCCATCTTTTCACTAGCAGCCACCTCAGGCTCTCTCTGCCATTGTCAAGTGGCAGCAATAGTGCCACACCTCCACGTCTCAGGTCCTCTGGGGTCAAGTGCACACAGGAGCACCGGGCATGTCCCAGCGAGTACCACTGTATTTCACTGGCTTTGACCAAACCAAATGCCTTTCTAAGAAGCAATCCAGTGGCCAGGGTCGGTCTAAATCTTCATCACGTGCTTCTCCCTCCTGTGGGAAATGGGCTTCACCAGAAGTACAGAGTTTATTTTTATTTTTTTAAGAGATTTTTGTTATAGGGTGCATGTGCTCACCAGAGACAGATAGAGACAGACAGAAAGTGAGAAATCACACCCCACACCGACCAAGGGGGATGGCCACGCCGCAATCCCTTCTCCTTTATTTTCCTCTTGGGATCTTGGGCACACACACACACCCGGCATGAGTTTAAGCCGCTGGGTCTGGAACTCAAACCACATTCAACTACGTGGGGGTCCAGTAATAAAATCATCACACCATCTGCTGATTCCAGAAGTACTGAGTTTTAAGAATGGGAAAGGAATAAAGCCCCAAATGCAAAATAGGGATGTAGCCAAAGGGAGCCACGGATGCTAGAGGGCAAACCTCCACCGTGCTCTGCAAGAGTGGTCACTGCTGGGACTGGAACCGACAATCCACCTCTGGCATCCATCCACCCCTCCCCAGCTTGGCACTCAAAAGGTTTGCTGGGCTCTATGCTCTCTGATCCTCTGCCCGCTCCCTCCAGGCCAGGCCCTGATTGGCCCAAGCCAATCCAATCATTTAATCTGTTTGGTTCACTGATTTGTTCAGGTTTGGCAGCGACCCAGGCCTAAGCCAGTCAGCATGGCTCGTCCTAGCCTCAGTGATCAATTCATAGCAGGCCTGTGACCAAAAAGAATTCAAAGAGAGAGCGATGGTGATTCAAAGAGAGAGCGATCTCTGTTCGGGATGGTGGAATGTGGGCCTGGGACTCACAACCATTTTCCTACCGAGAAAGAAGCCTGTCCGAAGAACCAGTACACACAGTTGCCTTGAGTGACTGAGAAACATGGCCAGAAACTGGGTCACACGGCTCCTGAGGCCACATTGCCTCTGGATTTTCCCCTGGGTGAGCCAGTTCTTACTGCACTTACTGATCCTTGCAAGCCAAAGATCCTAATGCACACAAAACTCTACCCCCGATTAACCCAAAGCCATGCAGGTCCTTAACTGCTGCCCAGACGATGCTGGCCACCTCACCACACCTCCCCAAACCAGAGAGAGAGTCCTGCTGGCCGACCTACCGCCTCTCCTCATTCCATCATGACTCGCCCTCATGAGGTGGGTGAGGCAGGTGTACTATCTGCACCTACAACTGGAGAAACAGGTCAGAGAGCTCAAGTGAATCACCTGAGGCTTCCCAGTTGGCCCGTGGTGGCCAGAACCTGCACCCAGATCTGCTGCCTCCATAAGCCCATGCCCTAGTACCACCTTAGGCCTCTAGAAGGTGGAAGAGTGGTCTTGGGGGTAGGAGCACCGGGTAACACATGTGGGTTGTATCTATGGTTGGATGACCGAGGCCCTGAATGCCTGCCCCATCTTTCACCGGCTCGGGATGGTGACAGCAAACAGCAGGGGCAGGCCCACCTCATACCCTTCTAATGGGTCCCTGACTCTGCCAAGTCCCTGGCTCAGAGTGGTGTTCCTTGCACGGAGAGCATGTCACCCCATGTAGAGTGTGATGCTGTGTGATTCACACTGAGGCCATGGTGAGTCAGTCCTTCCGGGAGCTGACCACAGCCCTGATGGCAGCTGTCTTGGCCCTGGCATGTCTACGTGGTTCCTGGACATCCTCTTTTTTCACTTCCCCACAATAACCCACTTTGCCTGTACTCTCCACCCGCTGATGCCG